TTGGATCGTGGACACAAGGCTTTAGGAGCGCTCTTCTTATCGTCGCTCTGCCTAGCGCCTCACCGACGTCAAACCACGATTTGTATTCGCGGGAGAAAGAGATAACGAGAGGAAGGAGCGCTGCGTTTTCTCACGCGCCGCGAGTCGCTTCGAACCGAATGCCTCGTCGGATTTAAATGCGTTACAGGCGGACGGACTTCACTTTCGGGCGCGCAAACGTGACGTCGCGATCTCGAGCGTGCGAGTTAGTCGGCGAAGATATCCAACTCGTCTTCAATTCTGCGTGGCGTTTTATCCATAAGGAGATATCGAGAGTACAATTTCGCAACTACCGTTATCGACCTTCTCGGAAAATTGCGCGCTTCCATTGACGTCATCCGCGAGTGCATTCGCGCTGACATCGGCCGCCGCGGGGCCATCGATCGCGCGGATTCACTTTTCTCGCGCGCCCGCTCGTTCCTACGTATCAAGAGCACTTCCGCCACGCGGTCGCCGCGCACACGATTGCGTTCGATCGAGAACAACCTCCGCGTGTCCCGCTCACCCGGCGAATCCGTGGCGTGCCGTTGAGCTCGGCGTTCCTTGGAGGGAAACGGCGCGCCCGCAGCCTCCGTCCTCTCGCGAGGGCACTCGCTCGACGGTGGACAAGTTTGAAAATCGTGCCGCGGCTCACCTAACCTCATCGTCGGGCCGCCGCGCCGAGAATCGGGCGTGACGCGGCACTCACCTGCATGCTGTCGGCCGAGATGATCTCCCCGGAGAAGCGGCGCGCCAGCTCGATGCCCAGCCGTGACTTTCCCGACCCGGTGGCGCCTAGGATCACCAAAATTGGCACGCGCGACATCACCACCTCGTTGCGATCGACCATCGTGAGCGCGGCACTGGGCGCATGCGCCGTGCCTGGCCCGCACGAGCGCCCGCACGTTCCGCCGGGCCGCGCACGCGTGGCGAAACGGCGGAACGCGGACCGCGCGCTAGATTTCAAAACAACGGCGAGCGAGAACGACGACTGCCGGAGAGTCTCGTCCGCGCTGCGTGCGGAAATTCCTCGCAAGCGATCTGGGATCGTCACTAGTAACCACGTTTGTAATTGTTGCGTCTAATTTATAGTGTTGCACGTTAAGTTATAACTGGAATTACGAATATAAACAATAGTTATAACGGAGAATCTTACGACGATCTTAGAGTCGCCTAAAGTCTTGAAATATCGAAGGCGTCTTGCGAGAGTCAGCAGAAATATATAATATCTGTATGACGTTTTTATTAAATTTGCCGATTTTTTAAGTAATTGCAGCTTCTATTTCCTGTTAATGGCATTTCCGCCAACTTTATTTTAACTGCCTCTTTACGACAATGAAATAACGAAAACTTCTAGTCAGATTCTAATTGACAATGAATGTCTTCAGAGACTATATTACACTCAAATTACGTCTGTTAGACATCCGTTTTGTTAGGAACAGTACGTAATTAGTTGTTCGCTAACTAACTTAGAAAAATGGAGACCTAGAAGATGAGAAATTGAATTTAACTTACCTGCAAAATCTCGATATACATGTCTGGAGAAAAGCCTAAAGCTTTTGTGTCCGGTTTCTCTAACGGTGTTGAAACAATGTGTCCGAAGCTTACGCAAACTTTTCGCACGTATCTATTCTCAATCTCAAGTCATTTATATACAACTCTTTGTAGACACGTTACGATAATGGCGCAACAATTTCTACAAATAGCGTCTATCCGTGACGTAATGAATAGACAAATTTCGAGGGGCGTTCCTGCTGTATTGACAAAATACAATCGAGATCTGTGCGAGAAATATTATCGCAGTGTTGAATAATATGCAATTTCCTGTACTAAAGTATTTGTGACTCCTGCAGCCACAGGAATAATTTCCGGATCCAATGCTATTACACTTCAATGTATCACAAAAATAGGATCGATATAGCGCCAACCATATTTATTATAGAGAAAGGAATACTTTAATCTTAAATGACCAATTCTAAAGTCTAGAGTAAAATGAGAGTATGTATCGTCTTTTGTCGAATATCGCGGTGCCAACTTCGCGCGTTGTAAGATGGAGGGACAATTCTAAACGCAAGAATATATAAACTTACGTTTATATAAGTTACTCTTGTCTCAATATAGTTTTTTAATTCGATGGAGGAGAATTATTGATTTCATTTTGATATTGTCTTATTTCGACACTAAATAGGTTGTGAGAAATGTAAATGCGTCAAGAATACTTTTTGTCTCGGTAACAGAAATCCTTTCTGAGGGCGTAAGGTATACACGCAATACGGCAGTTTAATATTTAATAGACTTCCTTTCTGCGGTATTTCAATCTTAAACTTTCTAGCATAATGAACTCGCGGAGGTGACATGACCTAAGTTAATGAAATTCTAATTATAATAACTGGCATCGCCTCTGCTCCAATTTGGCTTTTGACTATTTCAAGCCATAAGTATCGGCGAGACTAAATTAAACATTTACATGCAAGTGTACATATTCGTGTTTAATCTTTCTCAACAAAGTTTTAAATTATTACGAAACATTTCAGGGAGCATCTAATCTTTCTAAAATCAAAGTTCAAAATTTACCTGAATATATTTATATTTATATAATTAGAAAATTAAAACTTTATTGAAAACAATTTACCTCAGCGTGTCTAAAACGAACGAAACTTATTACTTGTCTACACATTTCCAACATTTAAATTGAAACTTAAGAAGCGGTTGCTGTCTTAATATTTTCAGGAAAATCGATATTGTGTTAGCGAAGAAATGTCATTGACGTTATGGCTTGGAAATCGGCTATTCTGCTCGTATGAACGTGAGAAGTCTCTTCATTATTCATAATAAATCCATGCTAAACAAAGCGGTGTTTATCGTTCTATATGCGTTCGTAGATTACTTAAACCGGCAAAGGCAGAAATCACGTGCGGGAAATAATGCACACAACTGGATGCATACGTATGTGTGGTGCAACATATGTGTGCGCATCCCGCCACGTGCGTCGAATGCAACGTACGTCATTCTTGAGTTAAATGATTACGTTATTCAAAGTCTATGTATATTTTGTTAGATTCGCGGATATCAATGGCGCCAGTGATATACTCATCTATATCAGACGATGAATAGTGCAAGTAAGGTCTTACGATTAGTATACTATCGTAAATAATGTCACTGTGTTATCGGCAGTAATTTTTCTTACCAATATGACTCGCAAGTTATCATTAATATGATGCAGTATTTGAAATGATAAAGAACGAAATTATTAGCAGTGCAAAAATATTTTTAGCGAGCACTTGCATGTGAATTTCCTTGTCTTAATTTGGCATAAATTACTGTAGTTTTTTAAACACAATTTTTTTAGGTATTTTTATTGTCACCATGCCAATGATAAAATTGAACCAAAAAGAAAAACTTGTGGTCGGCCAGACTGGCAAAAATTCGGTGGTTTCTTTAAAATACAATATAAATGCAAGGCCAGTTTGATCGACTAGAAATGTACAATGCATTTTAAATAAATCATTTAATTTTTGCCAATTTGGTCCGCTACAAATTTTCCTTTTTAATAATTCCTTTTGTTTAATCTCTCTTCTATTTACTTTTTAATCTGTGTTCTCTGTTATAATTTTATATCGTAAACAATGATTTTATGTGTAATCTAAAGTATAATAACGCTGAAATTGCATACGTGCTAAAATTGGATAATTTTAGCGTATAAGCTTTATAAAGTTTGCTTTATAAAGTTGCGAGGAACGTCACGATGTAAAATTTATATGCAATACGTAATGAATACTTATTATATGTATAATGAATACACATCATTGTGTGAGAGATAGAATATTCAAATGCAGGGCAGTATTTGTTTTCTGTGACACAGTTGCTTCTAATCCATTAAATCATATGCCATGTTTATCGAAGACAAAAAAATACACTGTCATAACATTTTTCCGTTAATTGTCGCTACTAATCTGCAAATAACAAAATTAATAAAATATATTTACACACACGCGAAATCACGTTATTTACCATGTACGTCAAAATATTTATCGATATATCAAGTGAATAATTTTTTTCCCAAACAATTTTATATGCATATCAATAAAATTAACTGCCTCTAATTATACAAATATTAAAAGCGTGCAGCGTTTTATCTACATATTTGTGTTCATCACGTTTCTTTATTGGCTTGCTACTGCATTTATTAAATGGAATGATTACCTTTGATAAAAATAAACATTAAATCTCGAAATTCAATTTTTCCAATGGCGCGTTCAATACTTCTTGCCTCAAAACCAGGAGTTCCATTCAAAGTTCAGATTTTATGAGCATATGCATTTTTGTTTGATATCAGTAAAGAATATTCGCGCAAATAGTGCATTGTAATGACAGTATAGTGAAACATTCAAGCGAAAAAAATTCATGCTCGGTGACAAATATAATATTATAATTAAACATCTAGATGAACTGAACTTTTTCTGCATCACGTTATTGTACAACAATGGCGACAATTAATTACTATACTGGTTATTGCATAATGCTTGCATGTCTCTCGCTTGTACGACGATATATTAGTACAATTACTCGGTATGAACAAATTTGACGGCAGTTGGCAAAAGAAAAGTCAGCCGTATATGAAACGTGGTGTACTCGCAAGTAGAGAGATTAATGGTTTTCGACGATATTGCGCAAGCGTCCGCGCAAGAAGTTTGTACTCGATGCAACCCCGCGCTCATGTTAAATTGGCGATTGATAAGAACGTGAATTAACGTCAGTGTAACGTGAGCGCAACCGCCGCCAGCGTGTAATGCAACACCGACGTAATCTAACGCGAGGCGCAAGCTCGTTGCGAAGCGGAATGCCGTCGTAATGCCGACATAACGGAAAACGTGATGCGAATGCGACGCGCGCGTAATGCAACGCAACGTCAGATGCAAAGGCGAGCGGGGGTGATTACTGGCGTTCCGATCTTTTTTGCTGTTTAACGTAATGCATCAATGCAAGCGCGAGTGCCATGCAAATTCGTGTGCGATGTAACGTAATGCTGCGCGATCTATAGTAGGTGCAACGCGAATGTAACACAATACAGCGACGAAGCGTATTATAGGCTGGATAATAAACGGTCGTATTTTAATATTTGTCATTTTAAACGTACATCGAGTGAGAAATTAATCTTACGTCCGCTATGTTTCACTTCAAACCGTCTTCAAACCACACACAATGTTGAAAAATATTGATCGACCAAAGATTTCAATTTAGGCATGAACTGAAAATCTTTCAAAGTGATATCGATCTCGGTGCCTATAAAGTAATTAAACAATTTTACGAGGTTTCTATTTTTTAACAGCTAAATTTTAAATAAATTTCTTATTATATAAAAAGGAAATGGGGACAGGTACAGTAAAGAGGGAAAGACAAAACACAGGAATTAAATGATAATTTTTATTTACTAGTTATTTCAAAATATAAATGTCAAGGAACTTGTCCGACCTCTTAAGAAAGAAAAATAAACCGTATTGTTATTCTATATTTATATAAAAAAAGTTATATATCGGTATATTACAAAATATCGTGCTCGTATAATGTTAAGAAATGTAATCGACGAGTTCGTCCAACCATCGACAATCTTTCAGTTTTGTTAATCAGTCAATACGTTGAGAAAAGCTTTCAATTGAATTTATAATCATCTGCCGGTTACCTGGAAGGACGAGCCTCTTTTTGGAGATATTTTTAAGTACAACTAAAAAAGAATTACGTTTCGTTTTCAACGTTTATCGATATAAAAAAGAAAAATATTTAGATGGAAATATATAGGCAAGTTCTTTTTATATTCTTTTACACGATTCTCGTACAAAACGCGTGGAAGCTAGTTCTAAATTGCCTGTTTTAAGGCTATTATAC